AATATATGTTTGTTTGCCCAACAGCTATGTTTGATTTTTTAAAATTTTTGCGTATAATCCGATTTTTCGATGGACACGGGTTTTGTAGTATGTTTTTGTGTATAGGATTTTCCCAGCTTAAATAAGTTCTAGGACATAAAAATTTTTGCTATTAAATAGAGCGTGTTTCAAAGTATATTAATCATCCGTAAAACTACTGAAAAATCAACTTTCATTTTTTCATCAAAAGCCGGCCTGGATGCATACTGTGAGCAGGAAGTAGTTTTATCAACAACAGTACTATACATTTTAAACAAAATTCTTTGTTTTTATTAGAAATAGAATTCTTCATTTTTGGTGTACAGATATAAATTTACTTGTATATATTTTTTCTTTATTTTTTATGTAATTAGATGTTGAATCATTGTTTAAAAAATATGTTGAAATTAATTTATTTTCTATTTTTATATATATATATATGTCGTGGTTATTATTTTGAAGTGAACACAATGATGAGTTAAGATAAGTTGATTGCCTTTCTCATTCTGTAAGTGTTTTTATTTCGTACAAAACAATTTTATATGAAAAATATTGGAAAACCGAGTAAAAATCTTAAACTAAATCGCACCGTTCCTATAGATTTCAATATATTAATAAATAAACACATAATATTTGTTCAAATTACGATAAAATATATCATTGATACATTGATTCTAATTCTTTAAATTGTCCAAGAATTTTAACAACTTTTGGCCAATTTGCTTCAGCTACTTTTCCAATGTGTTTATCTTTTAAACAACGTTTTTGACATTTATCTGATAATTTTTGGCAAAGATCAACTGAACCATCGAGCACCTCATTTATTTTTGATAATAAACAAGAACCAAGATGTTGTTGACACTTTGTATAACAATAACCTAAATGATATTTCTTTTTATATTTAGGAAATAAAAAAAATAAATGTTAGACTTCATAGTTATTGAAAATTTGAATATGCAAGTGGACGTTTTTTTTTTTTGTCATTTGTCACTATCATTGTCGTATATTTCAAATATTTAGAGAAATCTTCAACTCTTGTGTATTCATCGTCTGACGCCCCCAGTCCCTACATGAATAACTTTTACTTTTTTTCTTTGTTATTTATAATCTTCGTACTTTTTCATATGAAATATTATGATCAGTACAATATGCCAAATTTACATACCACATATTTTATTTTTCAATGATACATTTTCATCTTCGTATGCTAAGTCACATTCTTGTTCATTTGACGTTTCATGTGTATTCCACAAAACTAAAAAAAGAAAATTATTTGTTTATAGAAAAACAGGAAAGCTGTTAATTGTCTTAAGTTTATTCTATATAAATTATGTACTTATATATAAATAGTTTGAAAAGAATTTAACAAAAGATGTCATTTTTAAACCGTTAAATGACTTTCACCATACTCTGGGTTTTTCATTTTCAATGAGATTAATACTTACCATTTTTTTCTATTGTATTACTGTCAATTGTTCGTACGTATAGTAATAATAATAAAATGTATGGAAAATATTTTAACATGATAAATGGACTATATTTTCTTTAATTTCAAATAATAAAAAATAATGAAACTTGAAGAGAAAATGAATACGTTGACATAAATAATCACACAAATTTTCTAAGTGCAATATATGAAGAAAGTGAATAGGCGTATCGATGCTTAAAATTCCAAAAATTATATTCATTTATTTTGTTTTTTTCTCTATTATACTAGTATATATATATATATATATATATTTTATTTTTCTATGTCAAATTATCACTGTAGACACGTACCAAATAAATCGGACCACCTTGCGAGTGCTTATCAAAACTGGGCTAAAATTTTTATTTTTAGAAATTTTTTATTTATATTAGCAGATAGACAAAAGGATGACCCTGTCATTTTTGATATACAATAACATACTTATCCAATCAAGAAATAGACTAACTACTGAGAAACGTTAACTAAGTAAAGTTATAAACTTCTCTATTTTACATATACTTTTAATTTCATATTCGATGAATTAAGGGCCCTTCCTCTCAGAAAGTATCTCCGATATCGTACATCCGATCTTGATGAAACGTTCCATAAATGTTAGACACAATGAGTTACGGGAATGAAAAAATTTTTTTGTCTCCAAGTGTTACGGTTTAGGAGTTTTCCAGAGATCAAGGTCCAAAAAGGACCCCGAAGTATTTAGATGAGATTAAAAGAAACATATTCTAAGAATTCTACAGAGTAATGTCTTCAAGTTTAACGATATAGCTAAATATTCCAATCTCTTATAAGTAGGCTCACCCGTTTCTTTAACTTTTACATACAAAATTCTAAAGACAGGCAATGACTAAGACAGGCAATTAATTTTTCTTATTATACTAGCGAGACAGTGCTGTTCGAATATCATCAATCTTGAAAGTTTTTGTTTTTCCTAGATCAACAAGGTGGCCATTCATTAAGTCTGATTTCTAAATCTCCTAGATAAAAATATCAGAGAAAACTATAAATGCTTACCCTTTTGACATGAATATGGAATATGAGAGATCAAAATAAATAGAATTCAAACAGAAGAAAAGAAATATTCTACACATAAAATATAATTAGAAAATCGATAATATCTTAATGTTTCCGAAATGGCTTTCGCTCTTTATTAATAAAAAAACATTTATTATGAGAAAATTAATGGCAACTCATTCAACATTTAATGAGCATGGCATATTAGTCAGAAATTCTCTTAATCAATTATTATGTATGTGATGCATGTTCTACTAAAAATCTTTATACTAAATTATTGACTTAATCATTTTAGTCTAATCTTAATCTAAGGCGTATTTTACAAACATAATTATGTTAGATTTATGTACGTCTTAATTTTGGCCGACTGCCTGAGTCTTTATTTTACCTTATTTTTTTACCTTAATTTTGCTTTAGCATCGACCTTAAGCAGCAAACTTAAGCACTTAATTATGTTTTAACGTTATTGAACGGAAATTTAATTTACGATAGAATCTCAACTTTATGACATTAAATTTTTTTTTTATACAACCTTCTTAAATTTCACTTAAATTTTAATATCTAATTTAATTTTAGCTTTTATTTTTAATGTAAAATATAAATCTGAATGCGTTGTATCATTTTTTATTGTATATACTGTCAAACTAAGATACACACTTATTAACTTACGTTGTATTAAATTGAATGACAAATTTTTTTTATAAATCTTGCATATGTAGAGAAGCAAAGTTAATTATTGTTATTAAATCAATTATAGAAGAAAAATGCGCATATATTTTTATATAAATAAAAAATCTTTGAAAAAAGAAAGAGAAAAAAGAAGTCAACGATTGTTTTATTTTTAAGTTTTTTTTCTTATATTATTAGTAGACACGGAAAAAAATATAATCTTCTTATACATACAAATAAATCGCTAATATAAATTTATTTTCATGTTACTTTTCCCAAGAATGATGGTGTAAATATGAAAAAAGAACTATTTTCACTTTATATTTCGGTTGGTTATTTATATCTTACAAACATTTCTTTGATGCCAAAGGAGATATTTAGTATCAGAAAACATTTGACAAGAAACATCTATAGCGACAGGTTGATTTGAACGCAAACTTCTTTAATTATACATACTGGAAATTTTTGACTCACAGAGGTGATTTAAAGCGCGTGTGATCGTTGATTTTTCTTAAAAATTTTGCGCTTGCGCTCGCTTTTGTGTTTCAAAATTTTTCCAGTAGGATAGTTCAATTTTTTAAACTTGAACGTGAATTTCAAGTTACACAGATGTTTAAATCGCTACAGTCATGATTCAACAAATGATTTCATTTTGTATTAGTAATTCAGTATATTTCTTAATGAGACTGATAGTAACAGAATACTCATAATAATCTTCTTTTTACGACAAAACGACGTTTCAGTAACCGACAGTTGAACGCTCTCTTATACAATCACACTAGTACGTTCTACAGTTCGAGTTTTCTTAAACTCATTCGCTTACTTCAACTAAAACTGCAACTGTTCAAAATGATTTGATGTTCAATTCCTTCACTAAATTCCAATAGCAACGCGATGAATGTTATTTTTTCAATTACTCTCACTTTCTCTCGTCCTCTATTAGAAGAGCAAAATCTATTCGATTTCTTTTGTTTAGAAAATATGTCACAATTAAGAGCGTCAACTGTCTGGGTCGCTCAAACATCGGTTGACGACTGTAGAAAATTCGATTGTGCAGTTAGTTATGGTCGAACAAACTTTTAAAATTTCTCAATCGGATTAATATCTTTCTCACAAAGCCAATGCGATTCATACCATTCAATGTTTCTTCAACGACATGATGAGCATTTGTCATACATAGATTATCTTTGGAGACATATCAGCACTATTGGGCGGTAGTAATTGATTAAGATAACTCTGGAATATGACAGATTGTGTGATAATTCAATCATGTCGAAATGGAATATAAACAGCTCTGAATAACCTCACTGGCGATGTTTAATCTCTAATAGGACGCTTGAGTTTATTTTTCATTTACACTTGATCACGTCATGAGTATCTATTCAATTATTTTATAGTTACATTTTGAGCATTTATTTTCAAAGTTTAAAAAAAGTAGTTTTCTTGGTCCTGTAGCAATAGTAAAAAAATACCACTAGTTACAGTGCCTCCATGGAGAAGAAGATTATTTATAAAGTCTTAATTTTCTTGAATACGAATTTATAATTCCAATGCCATAAGCAAGATGATTATTTCTATACATTACGCGAATTCACAATTTCATCGATTAAATCTAAAATATTTATTTGAAGATTATTTTATAAATTACCCGGTGGTCCAGTCCAGATATAACGGATATTTTTTTGTTTTCTGTTCTTCTCCATTAAGCCTCAGCCTTTTTAGAATTTTTTTCCAAAAGATGCATTGTGAGATTCTCAACAAAACCATACCTAAACTTTAACTTCAGGACTTCAATCAAGAAAACTAAGGAAATTATACGAAAGAAGAAAAAAATAAAAACTTTGTAAACTGAAAAATCATTTCCTGTGTTAATGTTTTGAAAATAAGGAAAGCTGAATCAGACATTATGTAGCCCTAACTTCGTTCTGTCTTTTAGCTACGCTTCACATTTTGTCACATCAAAACCCATGGAGAAATAATAATTTTTCTGTCGGTTGTAGTACTTGTAGTGAAAGTCTCATAACTCCATCAAAACAAAAGATTTTTTGATCGGGCTTGTTCGGTTTTGATCTGAAATGATTGCTCTTCTCTACCTAACTGCGAAATAAAACGACCATGTTTTCCGTTTCTTGCTTAGACACATTGCTGAAAACGGAGGGTCACCAATTTCTGATATATTTTTGAAACTTCATTCTCTAGCGCACCATCTGTTCTAAAAAAAGTTTTAACAGACCACGAGAAAGAGCACATTCAAAAGTACAAAAGGAATTGTGTTCTCACTTTTTTTACGGAAATAATAGCGGAAGCAAAACGTTCAAGTCGAAAAAATACCAAATTTACAAAGTTTTCATGTATAAGTTCAGTTCAGGTTGAGACCATATGGACAAGAACAGAGAACAAAAAAACATCCATTATATCTGGACCACCCGATATGTTTTTTCTTTTTTGCTGATTGACTTACTAGAAAATTCTGTGTATCTAATTGCAATCGATTGCTGCGGGAACTTGAGCTAATTTTACTGAATCTACATTTTAATAACAAGTTGGCACCTTTTAAGAATTAAAGTTGCAGGTGGGATAGTTCCAGTTCTTGAGAATTGGTGGAAAGAACCGGTCAGCCGTTCTCATTTTAAGAACGAGAACTGCTGAATATTCTTTTCAAAAGAACACGATTGGTTACCAGTTCTTTTCAAGAATTCAATGTAAAATAAAACAGATCGAAAGGACGAATTTTAATCAAAAACTTTTGTATAGGTTACAAAGTTGTATTTCTCTGATGTGCTTCAGAATTTTGAAGTACGAACAGAACAAAAAGGGGTAAGGTACTCACAACTTATCAGCAAAAACAGACAACGTAATTAATACCAAGTTTAATTGAGTTATCATTAGACGGGGGAAATTCTGCTAAAGGACTTAAAGACTCGTTCCCATTTACTAGCGCAGCTCACTCTCACTTTACCCTCCCTCCTTCCCTCCCCTCTTCAACTATATCATTCACCTTGAAGCTGAGAGCTGTCGTAATACGGTTGCAGACTGTATTCACTTTAGGTGCCTGAATACGTCATGCTTACTATGAGTGCCTAACTGTTCACAAAAACGTGCGATAACATTTCTGAACATATCTATGCAACTGGATTCACGGAGCCTGAAATTCTTTCCTACACATCAGTCAAAAATATCCAAAGATGAAATGTTTTTTAGTAACTCACTCTCATGGTATCACGCCTCCTCCTGTGGTACTAGTTAGGTCCCACTAACAGCTTCACAAAACAATACTCAATTCTGTTCTACCAGCAGCAACAATTAATATTATTTTAACAATAAAAGTTTTATACAAAAAAGCTCTTTGCACAATGTTGATGGTACAAAATTTGTACTACAAATAAAGGGTCAATTAGTTAATAAACAGAACAAGATGATGATATTTCTCTTTGTTGTTCCAAGAAGAGTATGATGTAATATTATATAATAATAATAATATGAAATCGAAATGCCGATATAAAGAAGGAGAAACGAAAATAACTCCAGTAAAAGTCCTATGAGCTTCCTGGGTGGATCTGAGACACATCCTACCAGTATCCTACTAGGATTTTACTGTAATTTCTTAGGATCCTGACAAAGTCTACAGAATCTTTATGACATCAGGTATACCCGAAAGTCATCGATTTTCCACGATTCTGTTAGGATCCTAAACGAACTTAAGCGAAATCCTAGTTGGATCCTAGTATTTTAGCATCCTGCTAGGAAGTTATTAGGTGGATCCTAAATGTTAGGAGCCTGTGAGATCCTAGTAGGAAACAGAAAGAGCATAGGATTTTGTCTAAAGTATTGCAAACGAAATACTAATGTCTTAGTGCCTCGGACCACCCCGTCTGACAGCATACTCACTACGTTGTAACGTACAATACAGCTTCTCCGGCTAGTCCTCGTGACTTTCCGGAAAGGTAGTACTTGGTTAGTGAAGTGTGTGCTAAAGTAAGTGGGCGAAAGAACTCTGAGTCAGATTAGCCTTCTGACCAGAGTTGCAATTGATAATGAGATGGGTGACCGTTTCAGAAGCTTGTCAACTGCAGGGAAAATATTAGGCTATTGAAACTGCCACGACAGTATCTTACACCCATAACGGTAGTCGCAAGGTGAGGTATTCTTCCTTCTTCTTCTTCCACTTACGAAAGAATTACTCGCCGACTTATTAAGAATTACTCCAGAACAAACAACACTGGTATACAGCGGACTCTTTCTATTCTTACTATTGGTGAAATTCTGCCAAATAAAGATGGCTGCAGGAATGATCAACTAAATGTACTCGAGGGAAAGCTTGCGTGTTGCTCAGAAATCCTGCGTTGTTGCCTTTTAGCTCAAAGAAGAGACTATCTACGTTAGTTCGCATTGATCCTAGCTTCCTAGAGCTAAAGAAAACAACGGAAATCCTGGACAAAAAAAAAGTTTGATGCAGAAAATTGCAAAGTGGTGCTCAAAGCGTTCGGAGCAACGGGAGCACGGAAATTTCGGAGTAAATTCAAATTTTTTCAACAGTCTAAGTAAACTCTAATCTGTCTTAGCTCACATTAAAAAGCATATTTTAAGGGCCGAATGCTCACAACAGGTTTTTACTCCGAATTCCATAGTGAATAGTCCATACTTTACTCCAGGACTCAAATTAGATCGCAAATCCTCTATCAGTGATTTTAATAAAAATCTTTGCCATAGTGAATTTTTTTCACTTTTGAATTACAGATCTCAGCGAAGATTTTACAATTCGACCGCAATCAAAATTCATTTCATAATTAGATTTACAGTTAAAAGCACAGTGTAGTTTTAAAGTAATGGTGGAAATTACATTAAATTCCAGAATTTCATAATGGATTACAGTGGCAAGTCCGCTTGTCTACCGTGCTGTTAAAAATACTGCCTCTCGCCATTCTTGCGAAAAGAGTGTAATATTTTTCTTTTACTTCCACTCTTTAAAAAGAAGTATGACATGATGGGATCGGTCAAAGTAAAATATCCATTTTGGAATAAAAAATCAGAAAACCGGAATAAAAATTTTCAACATCAAGGTGGTGTGCTTACCCAGCCAAAGCGCCTCTGAAATCGATGTGCCTTTGTGCTTCAATTTTAGATCATTTCTTTAGCCTCCGCTTGTGCTTTCGTTTGAGAGAATTGGAAGAAGTGCTTTGTCAACCTATCTATCTATTTTGTATTAGTTAATACAGTTCTAACAAAGATTAGCCTTGGAAAACACAGTGTATTTTCATTCTAATTCTAGATTGTAATAAATTTATTTTTATTAAATATGACCGAGTCGGTTAGTATATTCTTCTGTCTAAGACACGTATTATCATTAGTGAGTTGTTGTTTTAGGACACTCAAAAACATTCTGTTCATACACTTGTATTCCGTTCATTAAAACGCACGTATGATATGTTTTTGTCTAATCAAAACCATCCAACAGCCCAAGATGAACAAGCGTAAGCCATAACTGTTTCTATCTAGTGATTGTCATACATTGTTCTTTCTCTGTTTCGTTTAGTGAAAGTATATTTAGGAAAACTAAAGCAAATGATCAGTATGGTACCGTTTTAGCATTGCCAAAAGGAATGAAGCCTCATGTTCAATACCACCATGAAACTTCAGAAACACAAAACAAAGATACGTCTGATTCAAATGGTAAGTTCATTTTCGGATACTGAAGACATAATGCTCTAGAAACTATAAGAAATGCACGCATCATCGCCCTAAGAAAATTTACATTAAATAATGATTTAAGTAGAAAAAATCTTATGATTGCAGCTGTTAATATTTATTTGCTTTCCCTCTTTCAATGACAGAAAACGATGATGATTCACATAATGGCTATCCAGGTTCGTATGTAAATTTTTTCGCTGTTAAAATCATTGATATTCAAATCGTTCTGACTTTGTTTGTTTACAGATGTGTTACAAAATGGAAATGAAATTGTGAATGAGCGTTTATCTAGGTAAGAATAATGTTTTTACCTTTTTTTCTAACAACAATCTTTAAGTAATTACTTTTACATTTTTAGTGATTTTGCGGATTCTGACGTTTCCAGGCCAATGTATGCCGATACCCAACCAGCTAATGCTAGCAACGTAAGTTATCGTTTTGTCAGCAGATCATTCAAAAAATCTCGTATGTTGCAGTGTAGTACTCTATTATTGGAGTGGGTCAGTTTTACGGAGCTAAGGATGACAATTAATATAACATTAATATAGCTTTCTCCCTCTCTTAATTTAACTCTCCACATAGGTGGGCAGACTCAAGTCTGTACTCGTTTTTTGTAGACTCATATTAGAGATTGTATGTTTATAGTCCAATTGATTTACGTTCGAAACATACATTGACTTTTTTCTGTCTGCGAGATATTGGTCCCTACCTTAAAACTCCCTATATGGTCTAGCTTCATTGGTCCCGATTGAGCGCACCTTTTCAAAATGTAACAGAACTATATCTTACAGTTTTTTAGTACTTCAACTATAAATAAATCTAGGAGGGCTAAAAGGACACCTGACATATTGTTTTTGATATCTATGGTTAAAAATTTAGCACTGTTTCTCGAAAGATCGAATGATACACTTGTTTTCCAAGACATTTAAGTTTCGGTATGGATTAAGAAAAAGTTGCGACTTTCAATTCTATCTTAAACATATCAAGTCTAGCTCTTCCTTTACGAGCAACACAAAAAATGGTGGACTCCTTAAGATCGTTATTGCGTGAAAGAAGTGGAATTAATGTTCGATCAGGATTCGGTCTTAGTGTGGATTTTAGAACTCGCGCAGCCCTGAGCCTTTCTCTCATTTAGGCGTTAGTACTTTCATCAAAACAATCTGCAGCAAATCAACTAATACCACGAAAAACATCGATGATGCCAAAACCTCAATGGCATGCACCCTGGAAATTGATGAGGGTTTGTATTAAAGTTGATTGTTCTGTTTTATGAGAAGGTAACTTTAAAAAGGAATTCTCATTTTAGGTAATCAGCGGTCACCTCGGATGGGTTCGATGTATCGATGTCGAACCGGCTAACGAATGGTTTGTGACTGGAGCTGCTGATCGTGTTATTAAAGTATTTATTTATGCGGCATATATTTAAAATTCATTCATTTTTACTATTTTCTTTATAAGATCTGGGACTTGGCTAGTGGTACATTGAAACTGTCATTGACTGGACATGTTTCCACTGTGCGTGGAGTTGCTGTTAGTACTCGTCAGCCATATCTATTTTCTTGCGGTGAAGATAAACAAGTAAAATGTTGGGATTTAGAATATAACAAGGTAGTAGACAATGCGAAAATAATTGACTATTTTTTTATTTAATTTTTTTTCTTGCAACAGGTCATTCGACATTATCATGGACATTTGAGTGCTTGTTATGCGTTGGCTCTTCATCCAACGTTGGATATTCTTGTTTCTAGCGGCCGAGATTCTGTTGCACGCGTATGTTCTGAACATAGATTGCTTTGATATATTTTTGTTTACTTTCTGTTTTCATTTTATCCTTCTAGGTTTGGGATATGAGGACAAAAGCACAAATTCATTGTTTAACCGGTCATACAAATACTGTTGCCGATGTCAAAGTTCAAGCAGCTGATCCAGAGGTATTTATTTAAATCCAATATCTGCTCTTTGTTTTATACTGTCTTTTTCTAGATTATAACCTGTAGTCATGATAGTACAATACGTTTTTGGGATATGGTGGCAGGACGAACATATTGTACTCTTACACATCATAAAAAAAGTGTTCGTTCATTAGCAATTCATCCAAAATGGTTTGTAAACGTTAGCCATTCTTTTCGTTAATAGATTTTTTTGAGCATTTGTATCAGAAAATACTAATATTATATATAAATATAATATTATACTGTTAAAATTATCTAAAAACTGTATTTGAGCACTAATATTTAATTCTATGTAGGTATACTATGGCTTCAGCATCTCCCGATAATATAAAAGAATGGAAATTTCCAAAAGGTGAATTTATACAAAATTTGAGTGGTCATAATGCAATATTGAACGCTTTAGCAGCCAACGCCGATAATGTTCTTGTCTCTGGCGGTAAATATAAAACGTTTTACTAAGAGTGAATTATTCATTTATTCTTTGGTGTTTGTATATAGCTGATAATGGTTCATTGTATTTTTGGGATTGGAAAACGGGTTATAATTTTCAACGACTCCAAACAAAAGCACAATCAGGTTCAATTGAACCAGAAATGGGCATTTATGCAATGACATTTGATCACAGTGGAAGTCGTCTAATAACATGTGAAGCAGACAAAACCATTAAAATATACAAAGAAGATGAGACGGCAGTATGTAGATATAACAATTAAACTTTTTTGCTTTCTCGCACCTACGTATCCCCGATACCTATCCCTACAAAAAAAATATTTTATCGGCACAGATTGTGCACCGATGCCGAATAATTTTTTTTCTGAGCACCGATGCGCATCGGTGCCCAGAAAGAATGTAAAAATCTCGCACCAGTGCCAGAAAGAATGTAAAAATTTCGCACCGATGCGCACTAGTGCCGAAGTTTTGTTTTATCAATTTTGTCTATATTAACACCACAGTATACTTCTAAAATATTTTGTGTCTTTCTGACTTCATCTTTTCCTTCTCAAGCAAGAAGTGCTGAGGCAATGTCGCATAGTTTTGGCATGTCACTGTGGTACTGATCAGTGCCGCACTCTAATACAAAATTCAGTATAAACAACCATAAAAAAAACTAATTAAATTGATTAAATAAATTTTAGTGCGGTACTTTTCGGGCAGAAATATATCGGCACTGGTTCGGCACTTGCTGGGAACCGGTGCGAGCTAGTACCAGTGACCGATGGCATGCCATGCGCACTAGAATTTTTTTTACAGGGATTCCCATAACGTATTAGTGAAATTTTTTCTCATTATCATCAATATATGTTTCTGTATGTTTAGACTGAACAATCAAATCCAGTTGATTGGAAACCAGACATTTTTAAACGAAAAAGATATTAGTTTAAACCTTTTACTTGTAGTTTGTGATCTATTTTTGTTTGTAAATATATATATTGTTTAAAATAATTTTGTATTATCGGAAATACATATCATTTGACGTCAACTAATTCTATTACTTTTTTATTCGAAAGAGTTATTGATTATTTCGACTGATGACCTTACTAGTAAATGATATCTGTTCTTAATCGTGCCTCTTTTTACATTTACAGTATAAATCAAATGTGATTTACTTATTTTTCTAGCATTAATACACTCATGCAATATCTTCGATGTCAATAGATAAATATGGTAATAAAAATTACTTCGCTGAACAAAAAACGTCCGTTCAACAAGATTTACATATAAATTTTATGTTATACATCATGGTTTCGAGAATCACAGCAGATTAAAAGAGCAATGAGAAAATATTTGGATTAACAGACAGGTGAGTAAATTCAGCATTGTTGGAAAAGAAATTTTCTTTTATTTCTGCTCTGTTGTAGGAATGAGATATAGAACAGTCATCTTCAAAAATATTCCATCTAGCAATAAACATTTACGGCTATGTGAATTTTGCGAAAGAAAAGTTTATTCAGCAAGTAGTTCACATACGGAATATTTTCCAGCAATATATGATTATGAATTTGATCAAGATAAAGAGCATATCAAACTCATATTGTCAGTGAATCCAGATGCACATTCAGAACAAGTTGATCTGATTGCGCATCAGGGTTTCTAAACCTAAAATTCCGGAATGAGCGTATAGAAATTTAAAAGGAGGTTTTTCTTCGAAATAGTGGAAGGGAATTCCTCCTCCTTATTTGAAAAAAACAGACAAAACATTGAGTATTTGTTAGTAACGAAGCAACCGAAAATTTTTTACTTAACAAAATTTTGCTGCTGTTAATCAAAACATTTATTCCTTCTAGAATTACTTAGATCGTAAACACTAGTTTCGAGACTAGAAGAAAGCTGTGCGAGAAAAAGGATTCTGTCACCATACTTTGGCATGATCAGCATTCCCTGAAATTTTTGTAAAGGTATCACTTATGATTACCGAGATAGGTTTCTTTCAGGAGATGACTGGAAATTAGGAGAAGTGAAGAAAAAGTAAGGAAAGGATTCTTATAGTAATAAGAGAGCAACAGAAGAAGTTTACTTATTTACGACAATACGTAAGAATAGGAAACACTGCTGCTATTGTCCATTCAAAAAAAGAATGGTATATGACTGTTTTTTTGAATAACTTTCGATAGGAAAAAGCTAAAGGGCATCAATTTTCACCATTCGAAAGAGGAGATTTGGGGACATGTTTTCATAACCAAAAATTTTCCCAGAAGAGCTTTCTGGAACAGGTTTTCCAGGGGATCTTTGGAAAATTAGCTCGCGTGTAAAAATTTTCCAATAGGATTAATCGACCACGCTGCGTCTCGTGGCAGTATTTGTTTT